GTCACACTGTCACAGGTCACACTGTCAGAGGTCACACTGTCACACTGTCAGAGGTCACACTGTCACTCTGTCAGAGGTCACACTGTCACTCTGTCAGAGGTCACATTGTCAGAGGTCACACTGTCAGAGGTCACACTGTCAGAGGTCACATTGTCAGAGGTCACATTGTCAGAGGTCACATTGTCAGAGGTCACACTGTCAGAGGTCACATTGTCAGAGGTCACATTGTCAGAGGTCACACTGTCAGAGATCACATTGTCAGAGGTCACACTGTCAACCGTTGATGCCACGTGTTGACAGGAAAGAACACTTTGAGGTTTAGTTTTAGGAAGTTTTACAGCACTTGCAACACAATAAGACTTTGAAGTTAGCTCGTTAGTCTGTACGTGGGAACTGATCACTGTATGGGTTAATGTACGTGGGAATTGATCACTGTATGGGTTAATATACGTGACAACTGATCACTGTATGGGTTAATGTACGTGACAACTGATCACTGTATGGGTTAATGTACGTGACAACTGATCACTGTATGGGTTAATGTATGTGACAACTGATCACTGTATGGGTTAATGTACGTGACAATTGATCGCTGTATGGGTTAATGTATATGACAACTGATCACTGTATGGGTTAATGTACGTGACAACTTCTATGACTTAAATGTGTCACAAGTGCTGTAAGACTCTCACTAAAGCAAGAAAAATAAAATTGACAACTAACTGACTCATCTGTTGACACTTGACACTTGACACTTGACTCTTGACACTTGACACTTGACTTGTTTCTGTTCACTTGACACTTGATACTTGACTTGTTTCTGTTCTCTTGACACTTGACACTTGACACATGACACTTGACACTTGACATATGACACTTGACACTTGACACATGACTTGTTTCTGTTCACTTGACACTTGACACTTGACACTTGAAACTTGACTCTTTACTTATTTCTGTTCACTTGACACTTGACACTTGACACATGACGCATGACACATGACACTTTACTTGTTTCTGTTCACTTGACACTTGACACTTGACACTTGACACATGACACATGACACTTTACTTGTTTCTGTTCACTGGACACTTGACACATGACACATGACACTTTACTTGTTTCTGTTCACTTGACACTTGACACTTGACACTTGACACATGACACATGATTTGTTTCTGTCCCCCAGGCTGTGTGCGGAGGAAAGAGGAGGACAGCTGCGACTATCTGATCAGCTGGTCTGACGGTTCTGTGTCTGTCCAGTCGGCGGTCCATATCTTCAGCGCCTTTACCCGCAGACGACCGCTGACCGTAGGTGACCGAGTGCTGGCCATGGCCGACCCGGTCCACGTCCAGTTTCTGCCTGGTCACATCGCGGGCTCGGTGGACGGGAAGCTGGTGGTTCAGTTCTGTGACGGAGAAATGTGAGTTGATGGTTCACTTTCACTGTCTCCGTGCTGGTTCACTTACTTAACTCTCTCCGTGCTGGTTCACTTACTTAACTCTCTCAGTGCTGGTTCACTTACTTAACTCTCTCAGTGCTGGTTCACTTACTTAACTCTCTCCGTGCTGGTTCACTTACTTAACTCTCTCAGTGCTGGTTCACTTACTTAACTCTCTCAGTGCTGGTTCACTTACTTAACTCTCTCAGTGCTGGTTCACTTACTTAACTCTCTCAGTGCTGGTTCACTTACTTAACTCTCTCAGTGCTGGTTCACTTACTTAACTCTCTCAGTGCTGGTTCACTTACTTAACTCTCTCAGTGCTGGTTCACTTACTTAACTCTCTCAGTGCTGGTTCACTTACTTAACTCTCTCAGTGCTGGTTCACTTACTTAACTCTCTCCGGGCTGGTTCACTTACTTAACTCTCTCAGTGCTGGTTCACTTACTTAACTCTCTCAGTGCTGGTTCACTTACTTAACTCTCTCCGGGCTGGTTCACTTACTTAACTCTCTCCGGGCTGGTTCACTTACTTAACTCTCTCAGTGCTGGTTCACTTACTTAACTCTCTCAGTGCTGGTTCACTTACTTAACTCTCTCCGGGCTGGTTCACTTTCACTCCTTCTGTGCTGGTTCGCTTTGACTCTCTCAGTAACCAAAGGATTCCATAAGTTTAAGCAGCACATTAGATGCAGCAAAGGACGCTACCTGAAATGGCTATAGTTCAGTCCAATATTGATGGATTTGTTGGTGTGAGCTCACACAAACTGTTTGTAACGGGACGGAGAATCATCATGTGGGTGAAAACAGGTAGTAAATGTTGCACAGGACTAGATGCACACCTTTAGGTTGACAAAAGATACGCCCAAAACGCCACTGGACGTGAGTGGTGATCTCGTTTTAGCTGGAACTAAAGATGCTCATCAAGAGTGCAGCTTTGCTGAACACAGAAATATTGTTGTAAAAAACGTTTTATTACAAGAGCACTTTTATTGTTTCTACCATGTTGTCCCGACTGTCTAATGTACCAAACATTTCCCTGCTGAGATGAAGTGACTTGGAGTGGAGGAATGAGGAACAAGTCATGTGATTATTTATGAAGGTATCCTGACTGCCTCTGAACAGAACAAGACATAGTGACATACAGATGCAGATAGAATGATGATCCAAGAACTGTTTTCTTGACTCTGTCTCTGAATGTTTGGGGCTGTCTTGTTGTATCTGCTTGGGAAATATCTGTCTACGTTAAATGTGAGACTCCACGGTGGGTCTACGGTAAATGTGAGACTCCGCGGTCGGTCTACGGTAAATGTGAGACTCCGCGGTCGGTCTACGGTAAATGTGAGACTCCGCGGTGGGTTTATGGTAAATGTGAGATTCCACGGTGGATCAAAGTCTTGTGGATGTAGAAATGTCGGGAAAAAGATAAGCACGGCGTGTATGTTCTTGTGGAGTCCTAGGACAAACTTTTCATTTGTGAAAATATTCTTTATACATTTTTTTTTCTAGAAACACATCACTGATGGAAAGAATCACATTTATTTTATCATTATTGTTATCTCTCATCAACTGAATGCATATTTCTTTCCATCACTTTCATTCACCCATTTCATGCCTCTCTCTCTTTGAAGGTTTGTGAAGATTACACTGCACTTGTATTTCAATTACAATCATAGCACAGCACACTCTTTTCATAAAAACATAATGCTTCTTCCTGTAGTCTTATAGTCTTGTGTTCTTCCTGTAGTCGTATAGTCTTGTATTCTTCCTATAGTCTTATAGTCTTGTGTTCTTCCTGTAGTCTTATAGTCTTGTATTCTTCCTGTAGTCTTATAGTCTTGTGTTCTTCCTATAGTCTTATAGTCTTGTATTCTTCCTGTAGTCTTATAGTCTTGTGTTCTTCCTATAGTCTTATAGTCTTGTATTCTTCCTGTAGTCTTATAGTCTTGTATTCTTCCTGTAGTCTTATAGTCTTGTATTCTTCCTGTAGTCTTATAGTCTTGTGTTCTTCCTATAGTCTTATAGTCTTGTGTTCTTCCTGTAGTCTTATAGTCTTGTATTCTTCCTGTAGTCTTATAGTCTTGTGTTCTTCCTATAGTCTTATAGTCTTGTATTCTTCCTGTAGTCTTATAGTCTTGTGTTCTTCCTATAGTCTTATAGTCTTGTATTCTTCCGGTAGTCTTATATAGTCTTGTATTCTCCCTGTAGTCTTATAGTCTTGTATTCTTCCTATAGTCTTATAGTCTTGTATTCTTCCTGTAGTCTTATAGTCTTGTATTCTTCCTGTAGTCTTATAGTCTTGTATTCTTCCTGTAGTCTTACAGTCTTGTATTCTTCCTGTAGTCTTATAGTCTTGTATTCTTCCCGTGATCATATTTCCGTGGTTTCCTCCGTGCAGGCGAGAAGGAGTGGACCTGACCCTGTGCTACTGGCTGGGCCAACAGTACTACGACATGGCTCTCCAGTACTACAAGGCCCGCGAACCACGACACCGTTGAACCGACAAGATCTGCGAACCAAGGTTCAGTTGAACCCTGTCAACTCGTCCTGCCTTTATTTATAAATCTTCAGATACTTGTACATTTTGTTGACAAAATCTTGCCCCAGTGCAGTGTTTGGGACTTAAGACTTTCATATATATAAAAAATGTTTTATGCACGGAAAACAGGAATTGTATTTGACATCAAAGAGCAAATAACTTTACTTTTGATGTAGATAAATGTTGCTGATTATTTAATGATTTTTCTCCTTGGCTTTGAGGTTCAGTTGATCAATGGAGAATTGATGGTGCAGGTAATAGCTGGTACCTGTGTATGTGAAGACAGGTAACTTACAGGTAACTTACAGGTAAAGGTCAAAGGGGAGCTGGTACCTGTGTATGTGAAGACAGGTAACTTACAGGTAAAGGTCAAAGGGGAGCTGGTACCTGTGTATGTGAAGACAGGTAACTTACAGGTAAAGGTCAAAGGGGAGCTGGTACCTGTGTATGTGAAGACAGGTAACTTACAGGTAACTTACAGGTAAAGGTCAAAGGAGAGCTGGTACCTGTGTATGTGAAGACAGGTAACTTACAGGTAAAGGTCAAAGGGGAGCTGGTACCTGTGTATGTGAAGACAGGTAACTTACAGGTAACTTACAGGTAAAGGTCAAAGGGGAGCTGGTACCTGTGTATGTGAAGACAGGTAACTTACAGGTAAAGGTCAAAGGGGAGCTGGTACCTGTGTATGTGAAGACAGGTAACTTACAGGTAACTTACAGGTAAAGGTCAAAGGGGAGCTGGTACCTGTGTATGTGAAGACAGGTAACTTACAGGTAAAGGTCAAAGGGGAGCTGGTACCTGTGTATGTGAAGACAGGTAACTTACAGGTAAAGGTCAAAGGGGAGCTGGTACCTGTGTATGTGAAGACAGGTAACTTACAGGTAAAGGTCAAAGGGGAGCTGGTACCTGTGTATGTGAAGACAAGTAACTTACAGGTAAAGGTCAAAGGGGAGCTGGTACCTGTGTATGTGAAGACAGGTAACTTACAGGTAACTTACAGGTAAAGGTCAAAGGGGAGCTGGTACCTGTGTATGTGAAGACAGGTAACTTACAGGTAAAGGTCAAAGGGGAGCTGGTACCTGTGTATGTGAAGACAGGTAACTTACAGGTAAAGGTCAAAGGAGAGCTGGTACCTGTGTATGTGAAGACAGGTAACTTGCAGGTAAAGGTCAAAGGGGAGCTGGACCTCTGGGGGGGGTTAATAACCTTATAGGACAAGTTGCAAGATGTAGAACTAGGAAGGAATACGACAAAACTACGAAGGAATACGACAAAACTAGGAAAGAATACGACAAAACTCATGTTTTTTCAAATGAGCCTTACTGTGATACTATTTATATTTTCAAGATATAACCGGTTTTTTTAAACTTTCAGTATATCTTTTTATTCATTTTCATTTGACTAAATTCCTGTGTTATTTTGATAGTTGTGTGGTGCAGTATTTGTCTTAACATTACTCTGTTGTAAACATTTCTGAGTGCAAAGTATTTCTCACTCAAGTGATCTCTGGTAGATATGCCATCCCGCATTCTCCTCACAAAACTTGGCTTGCTTGAGAACATTTGGTGTGAAAATGTGAGAATGTCGTGGAACAGACGAACGGTACACTTGTCTTTTGAATCTGACAGCTGAGCTTCCTCAGCAGGCGTGGTAAAGAACATGAATTTACGATGAATATTTCAGAGATATCTGTGATGATTTATAACTCTATGTGTGCTCAAAAACGTTTCCTTGTTGTAAAATTCTATCAATAGAGTTCCTGTCGTTATCTTTTAGTGGAGATATTTGTTACGACTTTTCCTGTATTGTTCATTTTCGCTTTTTTTTTTTTTATTACAATTTTCATGTGAAAAGATCATTTGGTATGGAAGAAGGGTAAGTTGACATTTTTTTTTCAAACATGTCCATCTTTAAAGCTGTTTAAATTGTTTCGATGTTTACCCAGACTATAAAAGGACAAAATACCTTAACATTTGGTGGAAGAGTTTCTACTCTATGCGGCTTAGGGAGTGCAGAAATACATGTGTGTCCTTAATGTCTGTCCTTAATGTCTGATGTGTGTCCTTAATGTCTGATGTGTGTCCTTAATGTCTGATGTCTGTCCTTAATGTCTGTCCTTAATGCCTGATGTCTGTCCTTAATGTCTGATGTGTGTCCTTAATGTCTGTCCTTAATGTCTGATGTCTGTCCTTAATGTCTGTCCTTAATGTCTGTCCTTAATGTCTGTCCTTAATGTCTGTCCTTAATGTCTGT